ATCGAACATCAAAATGCAGGATAAAAATGTGATCTCAGTGACTTTGACCATGGCATGGTTGTTGGTGACAAATGGGTTGGTTTGAGTATTTCAGAAACTGCTGATCTTCTGGGATCTTCTTGCATAACAGTCTCTAGAGTTTACACAGAATTGTGCGAAAAACAACAAAAACATCTGGTAAGCAGCACCTCTGCAGGCAGAAGTAGCTTATTGATGAGAGAGGTCAGATGAGAACGGCCAGACTATTTTGATTTGACAGGGATGTCTACAGGAACTCAAATAATCACTCTTAACAACCATGCTAAGCAGAAAAGCATCTCAAAATGCACAACATGCCAACCTTGAAGTGGAAATGTCTACAATAGCAGAAGACCACATCAGCTTCCACTTCTGTCTCTAAATATCTGTCTGAATCTCTTCTATAATTTAACTTGGCCAGTATTTGTTGTTGGGATGTAATACACAAGAATGCTTATTTCATTGTGGCTGTAAAAATGATAAAACGCACTTTTCACACAAAATATGAGGGAATTTCTAGCCTCGTGTCAAATTATGTGGAGTTCATTTTGTAGAATTTACAAGATGACAGAAGGCAGACGGAGAACAAGTGATAAATTTATTTGCTAGCTTGCCGGTGCTTGTCAGTCTGTTATGGTTGTCTAGGATAAAAAGTGATAGCTAATACAACATAATACCATATGACAAGCTAGCTAGTTAATTCAAAGTGCAATAATACAGACTAAGGAACGAGTTTATGATTATTTTTCTTTTCTAAAAATGTATTTAACGTGGCACATCATGTTTGTACCCTCGATAAAAAGTAACTGGCCAATGAGCTGTGGTATTCTGTCTTCACGATCTACGTAAAAGATAATATGCAAAGTGTCTGGCTAGTGTCTTTATATATATATATATATATATATATATATATATATATATATATATATATATATATAGATTTTGTTTTGCAAAAGTCAGTAAGAAGTAGGGTTTTTTTTTCCCCTGAGTGTTGAACCCACTTGTCCACTGGAAAGAGTATAAAAACACACTGACTTGTGTAAAAGCACTGCTACTGTAGTAATAATTCACTTGAGGAAAAGTTAAATTAGTGATTAAGTAAATTACTTATGCTGTCATGGACATCACCTCGATTATCAACAGTATATAAAGAAAGGTAATGTTAGCTGGCTAGCCAACTTAGCCAAATGCTTTTGGCTTGCTAGGATTGTTAGCTAGCAAGCTAGGTCATGTTAATTCATATATGTTACTAGCTACATAGTTAACTATCCAGCAAGTGTGCCTCTTACACATTAGCCTGAGCATTACTTATAGGCTGTAGCAGCAGTTAGAAACTGTATATTTAACACAATAGGAAATTCATAGTGCACAGTGAAGTAAGATTTTAAATTTAATACTGAGCTTTAATACTGTAAATCATTAAAATAATGATTTGCGGATCATTATCATGCTGTTTCCTTCGAAGCGTTTAAAACTGAAGAGACCTGATAAATCGCACATCTGTCTGCACTGTCTCAGACACTGCTGCTGCTGATAAAGCATTTGGCACCTGAAGTATAGACTTTCAGCAGGAAACTGCTTTATTTTGACTGGGTCTCAAAATTATTTCAATTTGTACATGCTCTCTTTTAATTGGCTTACAGTCTTCTGGGGTTAAATGCACTTTTTTGTATCAAAAATAAATGGAACGAAGTGGAATATTTTTATTTAAATGCACTATGGTTTAATTATACTCAAAAAAAGCACCATTACAGTGGACCATGTACTCAAGTACCATAACAGTAGTCTGGGCATAAAATCAGCTCGTCCCAGGTACCCAGACTACTGATTTGTCCAGCCCTGATATGCTACTTGATTAGCACACTAAGGCTGCAGCTGCGGCAATAGAAAGCTAAACATGCAGGCTATTAATATACCCAATTCTTGTTTTGGATGGATCTCTGCTTTCAGCTAGGCAATATCAATATTTTGCCCAGCAAAGGCAGAGATTCAGACTGACTCATCTGCCTTCTGGTTCTGGCTATACCTGACTGGATAATGCACCTGTGGCCCCCTGGTAGTTATAAAACCAGGTTGGACAGTCAGACATGATGAAGATTCCTTCCTCCAGTCATTCGTTTAGTAATTTGCCTCTGAACTTTCGTCTGTGGAGTTTATACAGCTGTATTTGGCTGAAAGGGCTCCCTCATCCATCACCACCAATTTCCATATGGTTTGCAAATTTATGCTCCTGAAAATAGAGGAAACAACTGGCCATGTAATGAGTTCTCAAGCCCTGTGGTGGTCACCATAAAACTGATTGTAGTTCCTCATTGTAACTAATTCCTTTGTCAAATCCTTTCTATCTAAATTCTACTCAAAGTGTAATTTAGCTTGTCTTTTATTAGAGTAATGACTTCCATATCCCATGGGCAGCCAACCAGCTCAATCAGTATGGCACATTTGACAACGCACAAGGGGAAAACGACTGGCAGAAAAACATATTCTGGTTCTCTGGATGATTTAAAGTGCTTTTCATTTGCTTAATTTCCTTCATCATTGCTTCACCTCTGTGTAGGATCCTGTAAAAGACTCAACGCATTTTATTTTTCTATTATGCACGTTGTCATGGATTTACTCTGAGACATTACAAAAAAAAAGGCTGAAACATAAAATCAACATTTTTGCGAGTCTAAAAAGTTAATAAACAGCTAAACAGATGAATATTTTGAGGCCGTGAGATAATATGTTGAGGCCTCTAGTGTCACAAATTCCCCTATCATGGTCTGTTCCCTACTGTGCTCACCTGTATCATATTAGTTTGGTTATTTAAGACTTCTTGTCTCTGTTCCAGGGTGTGAATTTTAGTTTTTGTCAATGTGTGTATCTGAGCTTTATTCTTTGTCTGTGATTTATGCTTTTCCGAGTTTTGCCTGCCTTTTCATTTATGATTATGGATTTCCCTTGTTTACTGTTACCTACCTGTTCTCTGACCTCCTCTAATGATTTTGATGAAAGTGTTTGGAAAGCCCTTAATAAAGAATCTGCTGAGGTTACACATTTGCATCCTGCCTCTGACACATGTTACAACATTAATATTTAGAGGCCACACACTAATAATGGCCACGATTTTTATAACTTGAGGGTACTACATGGCCTAGTTAGTTAATTATTGGTATGAATGTCTGAAAAAGTCGATTTGCTTTGAGAATATGCTTAAAGTGATGCAGGCTATTGGTCCATGTCATAACGCCAGTGACTCCGGTATGTCTTTATGTGCCATTCCAACAGTGGAGTGTAATATTATCAGTCATCTCCATGCTCAGGTTCCTGTGGTCACAGTGGTTTAAGTCTGTATTAATTACTTTATGGCCATGACATAGATCTCCTGTAGCCTCAATATATTAATTCTTAGCCACACATTTTTATAAATAACCACCATGTCACCTCAGAGGCTCTATAAAACAGGGAGCACTGGGCCGTTTATTTTCACACCATGCCTAGAAGGTGAAACGCCGGAATTTGTGTCACCATTTTCACAACCTTTGGTAACCATACTGTATATAAACACCCTAATTAAGCAACTACTGCTAGAACTTCCTAATGATACCATTCACCCCCTCTGCTGCAGTACCATTTCACATCCCAAACGTCGAAGGGCTAATGATCATTTGCAGAATGCTATACGCCCCAAGTCAGGCTTTATAGAATATTATAGGGCGAAAAACACATTGCTGCTCCACCGTGTGTGACATAAATTACCTGTTGAATAGAACAAAGCTCTCGGTGCTAAAAGGTCATAAACTCGGATCATTAAGCTTGTCCACTTGACTTTGCCTTTCTGTCAGGCACGAAGAAAAAGCAGCGTGGGCTCCCATTTAACTCCACAGAGCTTGCAGCTGCAATAACTAAATTATATTTCTCTAAGCAAGCCAACATTACAGTATTCTCACACACACACACATACATATACACATACTTTATTCCATGATCTTTATGTTCTTTAGACTTTATGTTCTGTCACTGCATAAACACAGCCCACTGCTGATTTTAGAACAGTGTAATTGCAAATTTTTGTCAATGTCCAGATACTCAATATATAATCTTCATTTTAATAATTAGCAATAAATTTGGCATGCTTTGTGCAAACAAACAACCCCTTTTGCATGCAAAAAAATGCAGGTAATGTGTCTCATTTGCTGTATGTTTCCTATTCACAAAAAACAGTCATTATTACACTTTAATTTAACATTATGTTAAAAAAAGACCAGAATATGACCTCTGTAACATAAAGGTAACAAAAATTTAATTGAAAATTGAAAATTGAATTTCACTGAAGTGATTGCAGTGTGCCAAGTTTCGTGTAAAAAAAAATCATTTTCAGTATTTTTCCACTTTTAGTAAAGAATGAGTCACTGTGTATGAAACAGGACATAATACCTTTCCAACTGTCAACCAGAAAATCCGCATCACACTCTGTTGTGTATGAATGCTATAATGATGTGGTTTGCACAATGCAAAATTTGAAGGAAGGTCAGGCATGAAATATCAGAGATTCAAAATGTTTGCATGTATCAACCTAATATTAGCGCTTACACTTTTTAAGCAAAGGCAAATACACGGTTCTTTTTATATTTCTAGCTTATAACTGATGTAAGAAATTTCAGTGAAGCAGTTTGTGAGGGGATGTCTGTAGAAATCAGTCACTGGTTTCTGTTCTTGATGTGAGTGCTGACAGCAGCAAAATGAAGTTTAAAGCAAATCAACAGCTAAGATACAACTAAATGCATCAAAGTCTTCACCTTCAGCTGGCCTGAAATATACTAGAGCTAGAGCAGCTGGTAGTAGGAGGAGTTTTTCTTGGCCATGAGATGGATTGTTCTGGGCAGGCCAGTCTGGTCATACAGGCAAACCTGAACTGACTAAGTGAAGAGCCTGAGGGCAAAAAGCCCTAAAAACACAAAAGGAGCATTTTTGTCTGTCATTGAGGAATAGTTGCAGGGTCCCTGGTGGTATAGCGGCTAAGGATCCCGCACTATCACCACCGCGGCCCTGGTTTGATTCCTGGGCAGGGAACCCACAAGGCCACTAGGAGTGTACTCTCAGTGCTGGTCCCAAGTCCTGATAAAATGGGAGGGTTGTGTCAGGAAGGGCATCCGGCGTAAAACCTGTGCCAAATCAAACATGTGGACCAATGATCTGCTGTGGCGACCCCTAATGGGAGCAGCCAAAACAACAACTGATGAACATTTTTAAAGAATTTATTTCAGTTACTTTGAAATACACCCTGGCTCTCAGAAATTAGGTTTATTGATGATGCCACTTTTAGACGTACCACTCTTAGATACCATTATTGCTGCTTGTTTTGCCTGTGATCATCTCCATAATGTGTCTGAAGTACGCAGGACAGGGATGGATATTGGGATTGGGGTGTCACCTGGATGAAGTGCATAATATAATCCCATGAAAAATTCTTTAGACTCAACAGACCATGCATAAGTAGCTAGGCGAATGCTACCAAGTGATGCAATACATCTGGTAAATTTCCATATGATTCCCAATCCCTATTAAATATTACATTCTCTAAACAATACAAAACATAAACATCTAAATGAGTGATTCTTCAGATGGGACCCTTGAAACATCGACAGGGGGGCTCTGATTTAACAAGCCACCATTCGTAGAAACAAGTAGGCCTATAAACAATGTCAGCGTTGACCTAGCATGTTATCTGAGTGGAAAGTTCAGGAATATAAAGCACTATGGCTTCAATAAGTAGGCAAATTCATTTTACACTTGAAGGTGTCTCTGGTCCCTGGTCTAAAACACAATGCATATATTTGGTACAAATCACACAAAAGAGCCAGATGTCTCTGATAAGTCTTGTCTCGATCATGAACACTGGGTGCGAGTTACACCTTGGATGATGCCAGTCCATTGCAGGGCATTCACATTCACGCACTGTATGTAGAATTACAGCTGTTGGAATTGATTGATTGATATCATGAGTGTGACTTTCTAATAGTTAAACTGCTTTTTACTGCCATATTCACAATAAAATGAAGTTTAACAAAATTCTATGTATTGTTTCTTTGGACAAGCACCAGTTCAAAATCTAAATCTTTGTTAATATATCAGTAAATACTTTAATTAAAGTTTCTGAAAACAAATATTTGAAAGGTTGGCAGGGATTCTGAACTCCAGTCCTAGGGACTCAGTGCCTTGCAACGATTCAGCTTTAGCTCCCAACACACCTGATCCAGGTCATGAAGGTCTCCTCAGCACATTATCTCTATGAAGAGGTGAGGAGTGTTTGAGGCAGAGGGAGGATGGAACTGTGCAGGCCAGTGAGTCCTAGTACTGCTGTTGATATCCACTGATCAAAGTCATTTAACAACTAACTAAGAAAACAAATTAAAAATTAAAATTAAATTTAAAAAATGACAAAAACTGCATTATGAAGTTCTATGTTTAACCTGATAGATAACTATAAATGTAAAAAAAAACAGTGTTATATATTCATCAATATAATCTTTAATTAACCCTTATTAATTGTTCATCATAATTAGTAGACATATTACTTGTGTAATAATAGTTTATTAACAAAACTTTACCTGATACTTAATACTTTAATAAAATATTATTATGCTACAGAGCTATTGAATGCTCAATTCTGATTGGTCAGAAGGTGTCGATTAATTTTCTAGTAGTAGTTCCGGCTCCAAGGTTTATATTAATGCACTCATTCTAATACATTGTCATTTCTATAGTAATAACTTATGATTCATAAATGAATCACAAAAAGCATGTTTTTGTTGCTGTGGTGACATTTTCTGTGAGGAAATGTTTGTTTTGCATTTGTGGAAGGAGCCTTCAGTGTCTGTGCTTTTCAACAGTCAGAGGTAAAGTTGTGAAAAAAACAGTTTAAGTTTTCAAAATAGGGAGAGTCTTTAGCATGGATGGTTTTGAGTTTTTTTTTTAGTAACAATGACAAGCTGCATTTTGATTTATTAAAATCAAGAGAGAAAAAAGAGAAGCTAGTGAGGGAACGGCTATTTACAGCGACTAAACCATAAATGAAATCAGGAGCTAACGTGGAACTGCACAACATTAAATGTACTATAAACAGATAAAAAAATATGGTATATAGCTGTTATAAGAAAATAATCAGCCTGTGGAGCCTTGATTATTGCTCTGTCAATTTAAATATACCTTAAAACATGATTATATAAAGTGTACAAACCAGTGCTAATACACAGTTCATCTAACTTAATACATTTATAGAATAATTAATTAATCACCGATTGCATTATCTATCCAGAAAATGGCACGCTGTTAAACCTAGCATGTTTCACTTTTCATTAATGAAATTAGAATTTCTTCTGCAACAAGATTTTTTCATTATCTCTAATAAGGATATCTACAGTATACAACTCTCGTAGCTATTTATACAATATTCTTGTAGCTATATTGGCAAGGATAATTATAAATTACAGATTCACAGCCATGTAGCAGATGAACAGATCTCAGAATACTGACATGTTTATGGTCTGTTATCACACATGGCTGTTTTAATAAGACACATTTACATATACTGCATTGAAAATATAGTGAGCATGGCTAAGCTGTATGGGATGTACAGTTATTTTCTTAGCTTTGCTTTTGTCTTGGTAACTACAGGATAAGTTTATCTTGAATTTTCTGCACCAGTTGTTATGCACAATGTATAGTTTATTCTACATAATGTATTATAAGAAACTGAATTTTTAGGTGAATTATTTTCTGAAATATAGACTATATAGATAACTCCTATCATTTGAAATTATCCTAAAAATGACCCCCAACCTCATGAAATAGCGATTGAGAGGGATATTGCTCTTCTAGAGTGATAAATCTTTAAATGGTGTTGGGATTCATTTCCTCCCTCCTCCTCTGTCTAAGGAAAATTAGAAAAGCACTGTTGTGGTTTCCTCATTTACTTTTCTTGTGGTCTCACTTGAAACCCCAATATTCATTATTGTCCGCATGTTGTCCAGTTGGCAACTGAGGTTAGGTAGGACAGCTTTAAGAAGATGATAACTGTCATGTTCATTGTTTCCTACATTTTAGTGTAATGAGTGTCATGTCATGAAATATTACTTTAAACACATGTAGGGGGTTAAATGGTTTCAATGGTTTTAAATGTATTTTAAAGAATATACAGCTTTTCATACTTTTAGTAGTTGTTCTAGTACATCAACTGGGTATGAAAAGTACACGCAGTACACAACATGTTGAATTTCCAAGATCCCACAACAATAAAAGAATCTGTCAAATGATATACTTACGTTTTTAAACGCATAGTGGAATGCTAGTCTAATGCTAATTTGTATGGTGTTATTTGTTCCCTTATTTGTTGATTTTCACAATAGCCAGTAATTCATTCAGTAATTTAGTTGCTTTAATTGGGAACCCTGGGTGCGAAGTGGGGACACATCCTGGATCCCTGTCCACCTCAGGGCACCAAGTACACATACATTAACCCACTCATTCACACATTAAGGCTATGGTAACTCGAACAACCACTCTTCACAACTGTAGTGAACACCTAAGACCACACTGGGTTCCACTCCTGTCAGCCAAGAATAGAAATCTGAGGCCACAGGCTCAACGAAACTGGACAGTTGAAGCTTGAAAAAAGACCAGGTGATGACTTCCTGTCAGCTCAAACCAGTCTGGCCATTCTCCTTTGTCCTCTATCATCAATAAGGCATTTTCGTGCCATTTTCCCAAACCATTCTGTGTAAACTACAGAGACCCAAGAGATCAGCAGTTTCTGAAATACTCAAACCAACACATCTGTCACAGTCAAAGTCACTGAAATCACATTTTTCCCCATTTTGATGTTTGTGAACATTAACTGAAGCTCTTGACCTGTATCTGCATTATTTTATGCATTAAGCTGCTGCCACAGGACTAGCTGATAATTGCTTGAATAAGCAGGTGTAAAGGTGTTCCAGTTAAAATGGCCAGTTAGTGTGTAGTGTGTGTATTCCTTAAAGCCTCAACTTCAGGATTAATACATCATAAGTAATGGTGACAAAGCAAAAAAAAAAAAAAGGTTAATTTAACATTGATGTTGCTGTTAAATTTAACAAACCATTAAATTCAAGCAAAAATGAAATTCTTGAAATATGAGGAGTTTCCCTCCAAAAGAAAATTTGGATTTTCTAATAAATATTGGAACCCACCATTCAGTCTATATATATGTATATACTATATATCTATATATATTGCAAACAACGTTAGATCCCCCCAAGCTAAAAACAAATAAAGGAAATTCTCCCGAAAAATATAGAAGTTCAAAACTCTCTTATCCAGTTCAGAATGTTTTTCATCAGGAAACACTCAGTAAGTGAAATAGGCAATTTTCTTTTATTTATTTCAGATCTTTCTGCTTGGAGTAGGTCAAGGATTTGAATTAGATTGTGCTGCACTCCCTTCACTCCTTTTTATTTTTTTTTTGGCTGAGCTCTCTTTTCAACTCCTTTATAATTCATAGAAACAGGAATGTACCTTTTCATTCATCTGCAGATATAGCTTTTTCATTTAGAACCCTGCATCACAGATTTGCTTTTCTGTCCTGCTTTATCAACCATCATGAGCCGATAAATTTATACATTGAGTCATACGTTGGTGTGATTCTTTGGCGATGTGAGCAAGGTGATGTAATCAGGGTGAGATGATATGTATCAGTAACATTATTTACTGCATTAGATAAGCAAACCATGATTGTCAGCATTAATATACCCTAAGCATTTCTAACATAGTCATTGACTCTTTATTAATTGAAACTTGATTATATAATGAACTAAATAAACTGCATAATGAACATCTGTCTTATTCAGTTTTATTCTATCCATGAGTAAAAACACATCTACAACAACCAATATGAACTAATGCCTTAATTCTTATATTTATAGTGATTAATTGTTTACAGTGAACAATTTCATCTGTAAGACTGAATGGTGGGTTCCAATATTTATTAGAAAAACCAAAATACGAAAAATCCAAAAATGCTGTAAAACCAGTAGCAC